ACTGAACATCTTTACATGTGTTTATTGGCCATTTGTATATACTCTTTGAAGAAATGTCTATTTAGATCCTTTGCCCATTTTCATTTGGATTGTCTTTTATTATTAAGTTGTAAGAGTTCTTTTATATTCTAGATACAAGCCCCTTGTGAGGTATATGATTTGCAAATATTTTCTCCCATTCTATGAGTTGTCTTTTCACTTCTTGATGTTATCCTTTAAAGTCAAATCTTTCTTGATACTTACCTTCCACCTTATTTCTATTAGAAAGCTATTATGATGAGTTGAATTGTGTCCCCCCTCAAATTCATATGTTGAAGTTGTAACCCCCAGTACCTCAGAATGTCACTTCATTTGGAAATAGGGTCATTGCAGATGTAACTAGTTAAGATGAGGTCATACCGGAGTAGGGAGAGCTCCTGATCCAATATGCCTAGTGTCTTTATTAAAAGGGGAAATATGGACACAGACGTGCACACAGGGAGAATGCCATGTGAAAACTGGAATTATGCTGCCACAAGCCAAGGAACTACCAGAAGCTAGGAGAGAGGCCTGGAACGTATCTTTCCCAGGTGCCTTCGGAGGGAGCACGGCCCTGCTGACACCTTGACCTTGGGCTTCCAGCCTCCAGAGCCATGAAACAATAAATTTCTGTTGTTCAAGCCACTCAGATTGTTGTAGTTTTTTACAGCAGCCCTAGCAAACTAATACAAATGCCTACGATTTATTTTTCCATTTTGAGTAGTTAGTAGTAGTAGTAGTTAGTCCAAGAGTAGTTACTTTCAGGTCAAAATTCAGTTTAGTAGTATATCATTTCTTAGTTTATAATCCTTGTTATATTCATCAATTATATGAAAAATTACACTGAATTGGGCTCTACTTTTCCTGTACAAGTGTTTTAGGGTTTTTAAAAAATATCAAAATATTATTAAAATATATGGTGTTTATAATATTTAGTGGACATTTTAGGTGCCTACCTGACATTTTAGTTGCTTAACCCCGTTTTTCTCTTCTGAATAAGAAAAATGGTTTTGTTCAAGTCCCTCCTCCTCCCCCATATGAAACAGGGGAAGTGATCCTCAACTCAGCACTCTTAACTCTACTTTGTCTAAGAAAACATTCACAGTAACCCTCTTTTCATTTCCAGTGATTGGTTTAGAAATATACAAAACACAGTTCTGGCAAATAAAACCTTAGGAGAATCCTAACAGGGGATTTCTGAGAAAAGTTTCCTTGCTCTTAAGAAAGAGACACCAAAAAAAAAAGGGGGGGGTTCCCACTTCCTGTCCTGTTGCATCCACCTTTTTGACCACATGGCACTTGGTCTTTCGGAAAATTGCTCACAGAGTAGACAGAGTGAGAAGCTGGGTTCTTGATAAGGCTGAGGAGCTGTGACTGGAAACTACCTTATCTCTGGACTATGTGTGATGATAAATTTCCTTATTGTTTAAACAAGTTTGATTCAACATTTTGGTTTTTGTAGTCCAACGTACTTGAGCTACTATATAACTGTTCCTTTCTAATAACCTTTCAGTTTATTTAGCTGAATCTTTTTGCTAATGATTAAATTCTGCAAGAACTCTCTTGGATATTTATTCTGCTTTCCTTAGTGCTCTAAACATTTCTTAATTTATTATAACTTCAAACATCACTAATTGATGCAGAGCATGTATGCTGCAAATGGGTTACAGGGGTGATGAGATATTGACCCCTCTGGTCCTCAGGGTGGCTGGGTAGAGTCTGGAGTAGCTGAAAACCTCATGGTGGTCATCTGGGCAGCAAGTAGCATCCTCCATTTATTCAAGAACGCTGAACAAATATCATTTTCAAATGTGTATACTGAATTAATATATTGTTTATTGCTTATTTCAAAATAATTAGAAAGATTAATAATGTTAAACCTAAAGTTGACATGGAATATCAATAAATTAAATTGGAATATCAATGAAATAATTAATGGAATAGCCTTCTAGTAGCCTGAAGTTAGCTATATTTCTCTTTACTCCATATCCCTTTTGTGGATTATTGTCATCCACCCTAATTTCCCTGTGGGAACAGGGAAGCAACGGCAACCTCCAGAGCACTGGTTTAGAACACAGACCACCTGAGTTCCAGTTCATGTCTGCCACCAGACTGTGAGTAAATCCACTAACCTCTCTAGACCTTTCTTCCCTCATCTGCTAAATTGAGGCTTGGATTAGCTGATCCTTTGCAGACCAAGTGCTTTATTTTGATGAAAAAAAATGTTCTTATATTCATCGATTAGCAACTTTGTTGCTTTATAGATAAATGCTGTTTGCTATTCAAGGAGCTCATATTTCTCCTTTCATGCTATTTATTATATATTATAATTAACCCTCCAAATTTTTGGTTTTCAAATGTTAAGTGGTAGACAGCAAGGATCCCCAAAATAGTAGATGAGTATAGTAGATAATGTCACACTCTCTCCTCTGATAATGAACAGTAACTTCATAACAATTTAATGTATCATTATGCCCATTTAATGTATCATTATGCCCTTAAAGAGGAAGTTCTGTGTGGGAGGATAGGAGGAGGTTAAAGACTGAAACACAATGGGTTTCAGTAGTGAATTTGTACAATTGTGTTCCCTCAAAAAGGCTTGATGGAGACAAATGTAAAAGAGTAGTCAAAAAAAGAAAAAAAAAGAAAAACCAGAATAAAACAAAACAAAATTCATTATCATTCTTTTGAGGGTAGGTAGGATTCTTAACCATTTTGGTTTTGTTTACTCTTTTTACTTTCAATACAAAACCACAAGTCTTTACATGTTCCTTAATGTCTTTGTGTGTGTGTGTGTGTGTGTGTGTGTGTGTGTGTGTGTGTAGGAATGGGAGGGATAGGATGCAAGAGGTTGGCAAAGAGAGGATAAAGAAGTTATCTCTTTGTCAAAGAAATCTTGGAAAGACATCATGCTCCACCTATATTTGCCATTGCAATGGTGAAGCATTTTTACCCCAAGTCTCCACTGAATTAAAGTATTTAAGACAAAACACAAGGTAACGTGTTTCACACTTAGAAGCATGACAGACTCCAGCTTACAGGTGAGGTGAGGTGATTTGACAAGCTGTGGAGTTTTAAACATCTCTGATACTAAGTGCCTTGGCTGCAAAAATAACTCCAAAGGAACATGACATGACCTAAAATATAGGGAAGAGACTTTTATCTAAGCAATACAACGTGTGGGGTCCTTTTAACAAAATCCAGCTCTGCACAGACTCTATAATATCTGAACACAGATTCACCAGCCCTTGTGGTTCACTTTCTATTTTTGGTTATGAAGTGCCCTTGTGTGTGGGGGGGGAGGACGGGGAACTCGGAGGGCAGGTAGCCTAAGGGCTCTGATTATCTTTAACACAGTGAGGAGAGAGCAGCTTTGAGGTATCATATGATACAGACACCTTCTCTTTACCCATCACAAACACACCATTCAATATAGAGAGGTCCTCTGGAAGAGTTTTCAATACTGTAAGTGAACTAGAACTCTAAATACCATTGCATCCGTTCACATATTTATTCTAAAATTATTTATTGCATACTTATCTAGAGATTAGGAGGCAGCCCTTTAAAAAGGCAATGACACTGCCTTCACGGAGCTGGCATTCTTGAGAGGGAGACTGGTAATAATGAAACAACAAACAAAAACATTTTTTTAAAGAGTGATGAGTGAAGAAAATAAAGCAAGGCCCAGTCTTTATAGACTAGACGTTTGTGGCTAATTTCAGTCGTGTGGTCAGAGAAGTGCTCTCTGCAGAGGTGACATTTGAGCTGAGACCTAAATGACAAGAAGAGACCAGCAGGCAAAGTACCAGAAGGAACAGTTCTTGCGCAAGGAACGTGCAAAATGAATGGTTAACAATGCTGGATGGAACTTGGTGACTTCCAGTAACTGCGAGAAGGCCTCTGTGGCAAATCTTCGTGAGCACGTGTAATAGATGAGGTCCCAGAGTTAGGTAAGGAGTTTCACTTTTTGTGTGCGCGCGACTGGTATTCATTGGAGGTTTTAAAGCGGGAGTGGGAAGTGGGTGGTTTAATACAATTGACATTTAAAAAATACAAGATTGCAAAATACAATATTGCACTTCGATTTCACTTCTTTGAAACCTAATGTTTAATTCCCGTGCCGGTCAAAAGAATACCCGGCCGTCCCTGTTTGCCCAGGCTGTTTACGCTGGCCGCCGGCTTGTTTGCACCCGACGCCCTGCTGTTGACAGCCTCAGAGGAGCGTGTGACAGTTGGCAGGCGCAGTGAGGCAGCAGGAGCCAAGTCGCTGCGGGGGCCGGGGCTGCGGGCGCGGAGGAGGGAGAGGAGGCGGCGGCAGCGCTCTGGAAGGGTCCAGGCCTCCGCTGCGAGCGTGGCGGCGACGCGCACACCGAGGAAGGGATGAGGAAGCGGGCCCCGACTCAGGGGGCCCCAGGTTGTTCCATCCTGAAGGTTCGCCGTGTCGGCTCGGATTTGACATTGGAAACAATGGTGGCTCGGGGATGGAGGCAACGGCGCGAGTGCTGGGGGCGTGGAGGCGACTAAGGGAGTTTCCGTTTCTCGGGCCTAGCCCGCCCCGCCTGGCCGCGGGCCCCAGCGGCGCACCCCCGGGAGCCGCAGGTGTTGATTCAAGGGTCGGCTGGGGCAGGCCTTCTGCCCACATCCTGCGGCGCCCGCGGTCCCCGGCGGATCCAGCGCCGGGTTTTGTGATCCGCCTGCATGTAGAGGCCGCGCCCCGAACCAGCGCGGGCGCTCCCGGCCTCGCGGGGGGCCCCGCCCTCTCTTCACTCTCCAGGCCTCCACCGCTAGGGACCACTGTGCTGTGGGCGGGCTGCCCTGCAGAGACATCCCTCAGCTCCTGCTCCCTCGGGCCTTGGTAGAGTGGGCTCCCCGGAGCCAGCCTCCCCAGGGAAACCGAGCTTCGCAGTCCGGGCAGCGACCGTCGCCCGCAGGCTCCTGCTCTGCCTTCAGATCTCGGCTCCCAGCGAGGCCTCTCTACACCAAGTTATCCGAATTAGCTACCCACTGACTCTGCATCACGTCACCCCGACTTAATGCTCAGCGGGACATTTATTTCAGTCTCATGTGTCTTCTGTGTTTATTGTCTGTCTCTGGAGTGTCCGCTCCACGGGGCAATAACCGTGTTTTGCCGGCGGAGTATCGGGTTCCCGGCGCCTAAGAACCGCCGGGCCCGGAGGCAGTAGGTCGTCACATTTGCTGAATGACTGAACTCTGTTCTGGGCCCTGGAAGAACAGACCGGCCTACCCGCCTGCCGGGGCGGGGCTTGCTCAGGCCACGCCCACTGGCCCGCCCCAGCTCTAGCCCGCCCCTCCCCCTCCTCCCCCAGGAGTCAGCCGGGGCTGCGCGGCGCTGTTCCCGCTGGCCTCCTTCGCTCTTTCTGCAGCTGTTGCGAAAACCCGGAGCCGCGGAACCTCAGAGCGGCGGAGCGGCGCCGCCCCTCGCGGCACCTCCCCGCAGCCCTCGGCGGCCGCGCTGGGCATGCTCAGTCGGCAGGGCCGCTTCAGCTGTCGGAGCAGGAAGCTTGGGCGCTCCGGCTGTAAGGAGCCGCGGCGGGGGGAAAATGGAGCCCTTCACCAATGGTGAGTGGGCAGCCGGAGGCGCCGGGGCCGGGGCTCTCTGGGGTCCAGAGGGTCGTGGGCGGTCGTGACACGCGGGGTCGCCCCCACCGCGAGTTTTCCGAGAGGGTTTGGGGGCGGTGGAAGGGGACTGGGGGAGGCTGCTGGAGGCTCGGGGGGCGGGCAGCGGCCGGCGCGGGGCCGGGGGCCGGCGTGAAGGTCAGGGCCACCGCCTGCCTGGTAGGGGGGCGCCGGCTGCGGCCGGACCCGACGCTCCGCTGCGCGCCAGGTGGGCGAATGGCAAAGTTTGGGCTGCTGTGTGCAGGGGAGGGGGCGGCGGGAAAGTTGGCAGGCCGGGTCTGTCCCCGGGGAAGGCGGTGTCGGCCGCGGCTCTCAGGCAGGAAGGGTTAAGCCGCGGCCCCTGCCAAACCCAACTTCGGTGGTGCGCCAGGAGCTGTCCGCCTGTCCTTCAGCGAGTTGCTGGCGTGACTTTTCCTATGAGGACGGGGTGGGGGTGGGGGGCTGGGCAGGCTGATTTAGGAGAAGGAAGAGAAACTTGCGGCGAGACTCGCTCACCTCTGCTTATGCCAGGGAGGTGCCTGCCCGCGCTGTCACCCTCCTGTCTGGGGCTGAGGCTCTCCGCAGGGCGCTCAGGCTTCCTTCCCCCGGCTCCCGATAATACCAGTTTTTCAGTCCAAGACTCATTGACTGTCAAGGGTCCGTCACGGTGATATCACAATGTGACTTGAGGCGACAGTCAGAGCAGCAGCCTGCAGGATGCCTTGCCAACAGCCACAGCCCTTTACTGAATGGAGACAATAAATCCCACCTTGGTTAAAACGATGGCTTTTCTTTGGACCAGAAGTGCCCGAGTCACAATATAGGGGTGAGATATCTTACTATTTTGTGACTTTGGGTATATGGATTCCTTTTTGGGATAGAAAGTAGGAAAACTGCTAGGGAGAATTCATACTAGAATTAGAGGATTCACTCTCTAGTTGACGTGTTTTCCTGCGGGTGGTTGGTTACTTCAGGTGGATAGTTTGTCACATTAATAGAAGCCAAAGTCAGTTGCCACCAAAGAAACAGAAACATTGTCCACTATAGTATCCCAAACCCCAGCCAGACTTTGTGGTATGTCGTGCTTCATTTATGGGACTGTGAACTACTCGTTATATTCTCCCCGTTCCTAATTCAGAATGCTTCATTCTACTGCCATCTTCCTGTCTGTACTGTTTAATTAGGCTTAATGATGACAACTTTATTTCCGAATTTTCTTTCTCATTCAGGTTCTATGTGTAATTACTAAGACTCTAAGAATAGTTTGGTAAAGTTGCTAAGAGAACTAAGGAAGATTTGAGTTGAAAGGAACCTTAGAGACCATCTAGTACTTTAGTGTAAAATATGTTTAATACAAATTATTAAATCTTTTCAAATGAATATTCCAAGGCTTTTTCTTTGTTCTAGGTAGAATGCTTGGAGCTTCCACGTTTGTAGGATTTTAAGTGTGAAATTAAAAAAAAAACTCGCCACAACAAGGCTGAGTCACCCATTTGGTCAAGATTATTGCTAGCTGATTTGGTGAACCTGTGCCTAAAGAATAAAAGTATATTCTCAAGTCCTAAAATTGGGTCCTTTTCTCCCCTCTTAGAATGTGTGCCTCCAGATGTGAATATTTGAAAATTGTCACATTTGGGAGGGCAATGGAAAAGTCCCAGAGAGGAGAACAAAAAAGAAGCAATGCTTCAACTTTCATGTAGGAAATTGAATTCTTAATCCTTTCCAATCTATCTTCCAGATTTTCAGAGTCTGTGCTGGAGACGATTTGGCAGTGCATCACTTTAGTTAATGTGTTAATCACTACTTGAGAGGCTTATCTAGTGTCCTTTAACAAGGAGAATAGAAACTACAACATCTAAAGTCAACAAGAAATTAGCTCCTAGAAATTTGAGGTGCTTTTCAGGTTTAAGGAGGATTGGTTATTTATTTCAGAACTTTTGAAGGATAGCTGTAGAATTTTCTGGTGTCTTCAAACAGGTTATGATACAGTGGGCGGTATGTTTATCTTTGTACTTAATCCTTTTGAGTACAAAAGATATGTACATGTAATTCTTCTCCCTTAGGTCTGGGTGTTCTGGTGCAGAGTATTTCATTATCCATAGAATTTATGATTGCAGGATTTATCAAGCTTGGTATTGGCTTTTGTTACACATTCATCCTCTTTCTTCACCACTTACACTTGCTCATATGTCCCTATATATGGAGAGGTGTGAGAGCTAACAAAAACAGTTTGAGTAATTCAGGATGACATATCTTTCATCAGTTAAAATCTTGTCAGTGGTTTCACCCTCTGACCTCTAAATTTGTAAAGGAGGCACATTTAGTTTCTGTTTTGTCATTCTGGCTTTCAGTACTTCATCTGTTCCAGTAGGGCGTTCTGTACTTCCCTTGTTTTCTGTCAAAACTTGCTGCTGGTATGGCTCATTTTTCTTGCGCCTTGCTCTCTGCCTGCTGATAATGGGTTCATTTGATGAACATCCTGTCCAGGTAACATACTGCTGTAACACAATTAATATGCACATCTCCAGAAAGGGCGTATAAGGAGGGACCTTAGTGCCAAGAATTCCCATTTGGCTCGAGAAGTATTTTTGGTCTTGCCCTTGGCTGGGACTGCTGACTATTAGCTGAAGACTGGGTATCCCACCTGGCTTTGGATCTTTGGTGACTTTTTTATGGGGAGGGAGATGTGCTAGACCAGTACTCAAGATTAGTTTGGCAGTGGCTATTATGTCCCATTAGTCAGGTAGAGGTGAAACTATTAGCAAGTAATGATTTGTGTATTACCAGAAAAACAAAAAACAAGTTGATGGCAACTCTCCAGGTCTTTTGATAGATGTACTAGATTAGGGCAAGTAATTATTTGATAATTGTCGAGCTTTATTTGTCCTCATTTGCATGCAGGGTTAGGGTATTTCAGAATAACTTAAGTTCATGTTAAAGAATGTAAAGGCCAGGGTTCACTCTAAGAAGCTAATTGAGGAGATCTGAGGTTGGGCCTAGGAATCTGCAACTTCATTTTGAGGATACTAGAAGTATTCACCAGAAGGGAGATTTTGAGAAGGTTATTAGGTAAGCAAATTCAGGATTTAGAGGCATATTGATAGAGAAGGACTTTTTCTTTTCATATATATATATATATATATATACACGTATATATATACGTATGTATATATGTATATACACACACATGCATAAATATATATATACACACATGCATAAATATATGTATACACACACATATATGTATACACACACATATGTATGTATATATTTTTTCCCTATGCTTTCTAGTTTGTAGTATAGTCTGAACTAAATCTAAAGGGTAGAAAAACATTGATATTTTGAAGTCCCAATACTGCAAACATAATTTAAACAGTTTGTCATTTTTTTCATATGAACGAAGCCCCCAGGAATCACTTTAGTACTACAACCTGGTGCATAATCAAACAAGGGGGATTTTCCTGTCTTACAAAACTATTTTTGTTTTCGTTTTCAGAGTGGCATCCAATTGAAAGTAATTCCCAACTTCTAAAATGGGAAGTATGGACAACTAATTAGATATTTGTGGGTTGTAAGGCAGTATAAAATTGTGATTTCATCTTTTTATCTTACAAATAACAGTGGTACTATAGGTAAGCATTTCTTTTTTACAAAAATTTTTAGCATCATCTGTCAAAAATGTGAGCTTACCGCATTTTGCTTATGTATATTTTTCTTTTGTTCTATGATAAATTACCACATGGAGAGAAAACCCTTAAGAAATGGAAGATCATAGCTTCTCTATGTGATAGAATATAAGTTAAATTATGTTTTTATCCTTCTGTCTCAAGTTTTTTATGTCAGTTAAGTGAAATAAGACTATATAGGAATCGAGCATTAACATCATTTACTAGTCTAAGGTTGAAGCTGTAACTAAAAACCAATCCAGTTTTTAAGGAAAGCAGTAGTGGAAAAGTTCTTTGCTTTACATAACAACTTCTGAAAAAGAGTGTCTTGAGACAAGATAGACAGCATATTTTAGAAATGATTAAAACCAGTGATTATCATTTATCTGTAGATGATCTTTGAGAACTCAGCCTGAAAGATATATAACCAGAAAGATTGGTTATAAGGAAATAAGGAAATTGGTTATCAGGTTATAAAAAATAAGCAAGGGGTGGTTGCCTTCTCAGTAATTCAGTCAAACACCATTTTTTGAATGTCCACTTAAAAGTAGATTTTCTGCCAGGCATAGTTACAAAAAATCCTCAAACCTGTCATCAGATAATGCTTACCTCAACAAGAGAAATTAAATGGAAGAATCTAGTTTTGTTTTCATGCTAATATAAAGATATAGACATATAGAAGAAGTAAAAAAGCAAGAAAACTTTAAGAAAATTTTCTAATTATGAAATAAATGTACAGAATTGACTTTATAAACTGTTCATATAACATCTGTCACTCGTAAGTTTACATTTCTAATGATTTAGTGTATAGAAATGATTTACATTTCTAATGATTTCCTGCTGGGAAACAACAGCATTTTGAACCTTCTCTGTGAAAGCATTAGGAAATTGAGATATGGAGGAGTTTGGCCAAGGTTACCCTAGATGTTGGATGGAGCTAGATTAGGCCCACGGTTCTTGGCTGTTGAGATGAGGACAGTGCAGCCATGTTTTCTGTCAATTACTTACCTCATGTCTTGAAAACCACCGTAGGAGGAGCCTTTCTGTAATACTATTGGAGCAACCAGAGAAAGTCTGTTTGTTTTAATTTGAATCCCTGAATATGCACCTTTTCTGATTGTTCACAGGAAACCAGAATTGGGAATGGAGGGAAATTTTGGAGCTCTTGTGGTGGTATAGCTCCTTTTATATCTAATGTCCAGCGTAGAGAAGGCTGCTCATTGCCCTGGTGTTTCTGTGCAGTAAATGTGACAGGAGGAGTTCCTGTGTCTGTGGAAGGGTGGTCAGGATTCCCTGGTA